AGGGGGCCTTTCAGCCTGGGGGCATGATCAATGAAGTGTGCCTGAGGCTCTGTTTAGATTAAGGGAAGTAACACATTGGTGGCCACATTCATCCTGAGCAAATCGTTTTCCCCTCCCCTGGGCTGCAGTGAAAAGCTTTCCAATAAAACCGATGACAGGATTAAACACAACCAACTCTTCACATGCCTTTCACGTTACTGTTGGCCACAGGCTGGGAGAAGCACAGACTCCAGCTTGACTAGAAGGAAGATGCCCCCAAAGAAAGCATAGCCTGTGCTCCACCCCATCGCTGACCAGCTGCGTGGCCTTTGGCAAATGTGTATCTCTCAGAACCTCTGTTTTAACACTTATAAAATGGAGGTGTGTTAGTCAGAGTTCTCCAGAAAAACAGAACCGAGAGGATATATGTATATGCACACACTCACAACACACACACACACAGAGAAGGGAAAGGGAAAGAGTTTAAGAAAAATTGGAGCATGCAATTTTGAGGTGTAGCAAGTCTGAAATCTGCAGGGTGGACCTGCAGGCTGGAGACTCAGGGAAGAGCTGATGTTGCAAGTGTATGCTGGAGAAAGAACTCCCTCTTGCTCAGGAGGGGACCTCAGTCTTTTTCTCTTAAGGCCTTCAGTTTATTGGATGAGGCTCACCCACATTATGAAGGGTAACCTGCTTTACTCAAAGTCTATTAATTTAAATGTTAATCACATCTAAAATATTCCTTCATAGTAATGTCCAGACTGGTGTTTGACCAAAAACTGGGTACCATGGGTATGATGCCCTAACCATTAGAGGGCATTATAATAATGCTTCACTCACAGAGGTTTGGGAAAAATTAAGCACTAATATTTATAAAACATTTTGCATGGCACATGGCACCAAATAAAGATTCAATAACTGCCCCTGTACTCTGAGATTTTAGGTGGATTTAATGATTTAAGACTAAATTCTAAAATATTGGAAAATATGAGTCACTATTGGGTATGATTCAGTGTTACCATTTAACAGCAGCTGCTTCCGATTCCTTCACGGACATACTGTGTTGAACCTCCACCAATAGGCTTCCTGTGTCCCTGAAAATTGAGGGACTACGTATTTGTAGCAGGGGTGTATTTGTAGACCATAGAATTTTTAAAGGCTTACCTTTTGCTCTTGAAAAACAATTAAAAACCTTTGTGAGTACATTAAGCTTTTCATGAATGTTTGCTTTTTATGGATGTTTCAATCTGGGAGAAGCACGGACTCCAGCTTCCCTAGAAGGAAGATGCCCCAGAAAGAAAGGACAGCCTGCCCCATCGCTGCCAGTTGCATGGCCTTCGGCGAATGTGTATCAGGGCCTCACTGTGTGGCCCCAGCAATTTTGCAATGTGGAGGAGTAAGGTAAGAGCTCATTTAACACCGTCTCCTGAAGTGCCTGCCCCAGAGTTGGAAAAGGGAGCTTAAGAATGTGGCTTCCATGTACGTCTTTCCCTCCATGGCATGAAATACGGCTTCGAAGAAAACTTCGTTGTTTCCATTTCAAGGTTTTTTTTGCAAGGGGAGAAACTGGGCAGTCACTAGTGGAATGCTACCTTACCAAGATTTATTAGGAGTCTTGAAGGCCTCCGTAAACTAGGAAGGTAGCTTTTGTATCCTACAGCACTCAAGACTGATTTAATTTCATGTCAGTTCTGGAACTGCAAGCACAATATGAGCTGCAACTTTATAAATTGTTCCTTAGAGCAGCTGACCTTGCAGGTGGGAAAGTCAAAAAGGGTGAAAAAGTAGAGGAAGCGAGAAGGTTGAGAATTGGTACACCCAGCAGCTACATTTAACCAAAGCACATGGAGTTCTCATCTGTACCCAAAACATCCCTTCTTTCCCTTGTGTTTGTTTCCTGCCTAAAATAGCAATTTCTTTTTCCCCAGAAGGGTGTTAAATGAGGTAGTGAGGGAGAAACTTGATTATGCTACCACAATGTGAAGGATTTTTTGGATTTTCAAAGATTATTTCACCAAAATTCTGCCCAAGAGAAACTCAGAGTAAACTAAGTAAAGCCTAATTTATGTCTCCTCTCTCAATAGAATTCCTGATAGAAATGTTAAAACAAACTGATGTCACTAAGAAAACAAAGTTAATACTCAGAAGCACTGAATTCTTACAGGAGCTAGAAAATGTGATTTGGTTTCATAGCATCTATTAAGTCATGTCTTAAAATAAGCAAGCAACAATGTTATTGGAAGGAAACCACAGACTATCAGGATAAATCTCCTCGCAGCCTATTAGTTCCATTGCAATGGAGTGTTGTCTATGGTGTGGTGGAATCCTATTCTCTTTTGTCATTTGATAGTATTCCAGACCAAGCATTTGTGAACAATGTTACCTTAGTGATAGGATTTCCATGTCTCAGAATGCATACATGCAATTAATTCTAAAAAAAAAAATTGAGAAGGGAAGAAATGTATTCTAAAAATAAAGTTAAAAATCCAGATAATAAATATATTAGCATAGGTTGTCAGTTGTGATTTTCAGATTTGATATATATTCTCTTAGTATTTTGCATTCATTGTATCTAATTCATCACCTAATACTGATCTATCATCACATGATCTCAATATTCCGTGACAAACATGCTCTTTGCACTTACCATATTTCAGATGTTTAGGCAGATGGCTGGGCTGTAATATTGTATACTTATTTTTGCTCTAGTCAATATTGGTCTCTGCATTCTGCAATATTGGGTGTTTTAACTACTAGAAAGTACAGAGAAGATAGAATCTTAGCTACGCATCTACAAAGTTCAAGACTTATCAATCTCTACACCATTATGAAGAAATACATTGATCTATATCTAATAGCTGATTTATACTCACATCCCACTCCCCACTGCATTTCCCTAGAAGGCCAGGTGGAGGTTAATCTGGTCTAAATCTATACTACTCATGAGGTGTGTGCTCCTTGCTTCTACATTATCCTTGTGTGTCATCTGCCATCTGAAATTAAATGTAGAGGAGCCACAATAAATGCATTTCTTGTCATCCCAAACTTCAAAGCAGAAATGTGAGGTTCAGTCTGGATCTAGTGTCACTCATCTAATCAGCATTTCCAATCCCTCTTACAGCTCATGAAATTATGCCACAGTTACATAGAATTTAGACCTGTTGGGCATTTGAACAAACTTCTTATACCCAGGCTTTAAATTTGCTTCACAACTAAAAGTGAGAATAGCTATGGAGTGTATTCAACAACTGAAGAGATACTGTGTGAATTAGTAGTAGGAGGGAAGAATTAAAGTATGTATTTAGCTCTAAAATATTACTATCACTCCTGCTTGTACAGATTGTAAATGAACTAAATGGCACTGCATTTTTCTCTTAAGACAGTTACTTTTAGGCCATGCAAATTTCACAGTTATGTTTTAATGTATTTATCCACAGAGTAGTTATTTAAGTGATTCAGATGTCCAGAAACACCTTTTCTCTCCTTTCTTTCTTCTCTCTCTCTTTTTTTTTTTTTTTTGTTACTATCTTAAGCAGCCAGGTATTGATCACACTGGCCAGGAATGCCTGGCCCCACTGTGAAGTAGGTGAAACTTGTCTGATGGCCTCTTCAGTCCCATCTGTCCTCTCTTGAGCTCCATCAGGGTTCCCAAACACTCCCAGTGTTACCTTACTACTTGGTACCTCCAGTCTCAGAGAATTGCACCACCTAGTAGACATATTTGGAGGTAGAGGGTTCATGTTTTACCCCAAATGTCGGAGTTTGTTGCAGCCATTTATTCATCAAACATGTATTGAGCACCTATGGCATGCCAGGCACAGTGATGTATGATGGAGTCCTGATAGTGACACAGATGAGTAAGAGGCCACTTCTGCTCTCCGGCATCTTGGCATAGTGGTCTTGGTGTTGGCTAAAAAACAATTTTATGGCCAGGCACAATGGCTCACCCCTGTAATCCCAGAACTTTGGGAGGCTGAGGCAGGCAGATCACAAGGTCAAGAGATCAAGATCATCCTGGCCAACATGGTGAAACCCCATCTCTACTGAAAAATACAAAAATTAGCTGGGCGTGGTGGCGTGTGCCTGTAGTCCCAGCTACTCGGGAGGCTAAGGCAGGAGAATTGCTTGAACCCAGGTGGCGGAGGTTGCAGTGAGCCAAGATCGTGCCACTGCACTCCAGCCTGGCACCTGGCAACAGAGCAAGACTCTGTCTCAAAAAAAAAAAAAAAAAATTTCCAGGTCCTGCTGTAAGAGAATAGCTGTCAGAGCACAGGTGGTAGCATTTGAGATGAATATTCATTGGTAAGAAGACGTCTTCTAGCCTAAATAGAAGACAATTAATTATATCTAGGAAGAGAGGATCATCATGTTGCGAAAGGGCCAGAAATGTTCTGGGAAAGGTGAGAATTTAGAATTTAGTGCAGCTGAAGGTAAAGAGATGTGAGAGCGATGTTTGAGGGAGAGAGCACAGGGCATAGGAGCAGCCTTGTAGGAGCTGAGGTGTGATCCTCAAGGCACCAGGAAGTAAGTGGCTGGAGGGGTGCAGAAGGAGGATGGAATTTGGAGGGAATTTGGGACCAATTGGATGTGGGATCTGGTAAATGAGAGAGTGGGACTGAGGATATACACATTTCTAGCTGGAGCAGCTAGATGGGTGATTTCCCTGTTGGACTAAGTAATTGCTTAAAGTAACAGATCTAGAATGGAAAATACCAGATGCTTTGGCAATTGAATGGGAAAGAGATTGGAAGCAGGATGTCTCTCCTGATGTTATTCAACGCCTCCTTTCAAATAAATGACAACTGTGCCTACTCAGGAAGCCACTTCAAAATAGAAAAGAAGAATTCATGTTGAACTCCACAAGCTGAGTTAATTTTGAAGTTTTAAAATTTTGAAGGAGAATTTTTAGAATAGTTACACACAATTTTCTATAGTCAATTATGCAATTTGCATTTATAGAAATAAGCTTCAATCTTTGACCCAGAAAAAGTTCATCTTCAATTAAACTTTAAAATACATAATTTCATGTTTAGTTTGTTAGGGAACTTTTTATTTTATCTGACAGGGACCTGAGGAAAACAAGAATCTGTTCAAAATATAAATAGCACAGAATATCCATCTAAAAGGTTCATTATAAGAGGTACTACATTTTTTTCTGGAATAATTTTTCTTTATCAGCTCTAATGGATCAAATATGCAATACATTACTTCTTTCAATGTGAAATTTCATTGAGGTCAAGTTACACTCATTCTTATGCATGCATCCGGGTACCTGTGAAAATAAAGCCCTTTCCACAGCCTATGTGGTCAGCATCATCAGCCTCATGGTCACAAAAGATACCAGGCAAGAGGCCAATTTCATATGAACTGATTTTCATTTGGCTTTTCTCTTCTTGTTAAATCTTAACAACATTTCCATTGTAAGCAACTCATTTAAAAGTGGAAAGAAAAGTAACAGGACTACATGGAACCATAAATGAACCAAAAGTTACGTCAAGCAACTAATTTATTTATTTATGCAAGCTGTGCTACAAACCAATCCTATATAAGAGCCATATACAATTTAGAAAAAAAAATTCTAGTTGTGAAAATAATGAAACAAAAATATTTACATAAATCAGCACCATCAGTAGAGACCATACTTCAAATTTTGAATTTTGATATTTTTCTGAGCTAGCAAATGTGATATGATACTCCCTCTTAATGCTGCACAGCCACGGCTGCAGCTCCCAGTCAGCCCCGCGATCATGAAGGTCAATACTGATACTCTGCGGTGCACTGTGTTGCCCCATGAGTTTGCCCAACTGTAAGTGAATGTAAGTGTTCTAAGCACATTTATGGTAGGCTAGGCTAAGCTATGGTGTTCTGTAGATTAGGTATATTAAGTGTATTTTCAGTTTATGATGTTTTTAAGTTATCATAAGTTTATCAGGACATAACCCCACTATAAATCAAGGAGTGTCTATATATCTACAAATCTTTGTTAGTTCACAAGATATTAACTCTTTCTAGCAAAAGTTATGGCTTTAGTCATTGAGAATGTGCTTTAAGATACAGAAGCACTGGAATCCTGAATGTAGACCACACAGAATGCTTGTACTACCAAAGATAAAAAGAAAATAGAGGGTCAACTTCTTTGCCTCAGTAGTGTACATGGGAGGGAGTTCAGCAAAGTTATCTTCCAAAAGAGTGAGAAGATACTCATTGGGCATAGAGGCAGACCTTGGAAAGTCCAGGAGAATGAGGTTGTGAATAGGTCAATGGTATTAAGGATTACCTTGTCCAAAATGGCCTGGAGGCTCTGGGGGCTGAGGGGCCAGTAGGCACAAGTGAGAGCCAGGCTGTCCTTCATAGGGCAGAGGCTTGGAATGGTAAGAGATAAATGGTAGCACATGGCAACAGGCAGAGAGGATGACTCAGCAGATGGGCTGTTTCTCCAATCTGTCTTCTCTTTTCAATTCCTAGCACTATGCCCCAGTTCAGCTTCTTATAGTCTGTTCCCTGACTAAGACAGTGTTTTGTGGCTGGTCATTGCTGCCTCCACATTTTGCCAAAACACTTCCAAGAAATAGCTTTGCTTTGTACTTCATTGCACATACCATTCAGTAGCTAATCATTACCATGTGCATCAATTACAACTAGTTTCATTTGATATTCAGAGGCTTTGAAGGTTTGGCTTTAGCCTACACTTTCAGGCACAGTTCCTTGTTATTCTGTTCATTTGTAATTAATATTTAAATGTTTACTTAAGTTGTATATCTCATTTAAATTTTTTTCATTTTCTTTAAGTTGCGTATATGTTTTGAGAATCAAATAGTCCTAAAAGATTTGTTACAAAAATAATAGCAGTGTCTAGCCTCCCATTTCAATTCAATTGAAAAATTGAATTTTTCAATTTCAGTGGATATTCCTAAATTACTCCCTGAAGTACCTGTAGCAATTTATATTTTCACTAGCAGTATATGAGTTTCCATTTCCCAACCCCTCATCAACATCTAGTGTTATCAGAACATCTGCTAAACTTGTGATTGTGAAATTGTATCACATTGTTATGGTAATTTACTGTTCCTTGTTACTAGTAAAAGGGAACATATTTTAATAGGTTTATTGGTCATTGAATTCACATCCTTTCTTTTTTCTGATTGAGTTGTAGGACTTTTAAAATATATTTCTTATATGAATTAACTTTTTCCTGTTATATTCTATAAGCTCTTTCAGTCTGTGACTTATGCTTGTTTATGGTGGGTTATTTTTTCATCAAAGTTTTAAAAAATTATGACATTGTAAATTTTATTAATCTTTTTTTATGTTTTGTTCATTTTATGCTGTGTTCAAGAAATCATTCATTATCTTGACATTGTAAATAGATTTAATTACATGTATTTTTAAAAGTTCTAAACTTTATTTTTCCAGTTAAGTCCTTTAAGCTATTTGGAGTTTGTTTTTGTGTACGGTGTGAATTTGTAACCTAATTTTATTTTTCCCAGGTTATAGCCAATTTTCCCCCAAATTTTAACTTAACTGTTCACCACCTCTCTTCTGAACTTATAATGCAATATTCCAACACATTGTTAGTGTATTAATTTAATTTTTAACACAAATTGTTAGTGTTAACTCATCCTTGCAATCCTATGATAAACAATTGGTCCTGATACATTTTTCTAGTACACTGGTTTATTCAACATGCAAACATTTTATTTGAAATTTCTTCTATAGTCAAAAGTAAGATTTTCATTATGACTTTTTTCACTGATGAATTATGTATGAATGAATTTTAATGGTCTAAAAGCATTTGAGGTTATTTTCGGTTAATTATCACTAATGTAATTGCACTCTACTGAGAGAATAAAGTATGTCTCCATGTACAAAAATTATTTGATATTTGTTCTTTACTTTGCGCTGTAGCATGTGAAGTGTTTTGATAAATGTCACATTGGTCCAAACATTACATTTTACCAATAGAAATCAGGGTGGATATATGCATATTTACACAGGGTATAAAAATGTAGACATGTGTTTTCATGAGATGGCAAACCAGTGTGCCTTTCTTGTTATCCCTAAGCTCTGTAAATACAAATTGTTGAAAAACAAATTCCAAACATACTTTTTTTATCTAGATGCTCCATTCCTGATGCCAAGAGTGTAATGTATTAAGAAAATGGTACAGCTTGAAGAAAACACAATTTCCTAAGAGAGATAAATGGCTGTCATAAGTACTGTGACAAGCACTCACCAGAACTGTAAGATTTGGTGTGAGTCTGCTGGAATTCACTGTCAACTCTAGCGGTTTTTAGTATCTCTATTTTTTCTTGTTCTAAAACCCATACCATAAGCATATGAAATATACTTTCTGCCATTTTAACTTCATCGGTGTAAAAAACAGCTGCTATCTTCTGAATAATAATGGCATATTAAATTCCATCTTTTAACCATCTAAATAGCATTTTCTCAGAAAGCTGTTTTCCTATTTCCTTTAGAAAATAGGGCTTTGCTTTGGAAAATATCTTTGAATGGATGGATATTAGAAATCAGTCAAATTCAAATCTAACCTATTACTGAAAAATGAGTACAAATGGCCAATAAAGTGATATTTTTCATCCATCAGAAAGTCAAAACTAAAAAAGGTCAGTGATATCCAATGTTGGCCAGTGGGTGGATAAGTGGATGTGCTTCCCCATTGTTGGTGAGAGGAGGTACTGTAAAACCTTTGATAAAGATCCTGTGCTTATTTTTGGCTGTGCAGTGTCCACCCTGCTCTTTTTACCATCTATGTGCCCAGATGCCTGTGGGGAATGTTCCCCATGATCTGTGGATAGAGTGGCAGCCCCCAGGAGGCTTTAAAGTATAGTGGTTAAGGATATGGACTTGGCTGTCAGACCACAGTGAGTTTGACTTTGCCATTTCCTCTATCGTCTTAGGAAAGTTACGTAGCTTCCCTGAAACTCTCATTAATCAGCTACTGCTATTTATGTGTGAAACCTTGTTGTATTTGGTACAATGGGATAGCCACAGGAGGTCTGCTTTGGGTTGAAACTGAGAAAGAAACAAAATAAATGGATCCAGGTGTGGAGATCAGAAGAGAAATGATATTTCCTGAGCCTCTGCTATGTGTAGGTGCTCTCAAGTACTTCACGTACATGGCATCACTGTACCCCACACAACTATCTCATGAGGTCATATGCCCATTTGATAGATAAAGAAACAGTTGTTCCCAATGTCATACAATATTTCAGAAGTAGAACCAAAATCTGTCTGAAACCTAAGTCAATGCTTTTAACCACTATTAACACCACTCCTCAGGGCCTCAGACACAGCAAAGGGGAGCCACGAGGGGCCCACATGAAAACACTGGATAACTAAGGGAATGGGGAGGCCTGTGCAGGAGAGGGAAGGCTGAAGGCCACTTGGTCTTGGTAGCTGGATAGTGGTCCCACCATCTAGGTCATCACAGGACCACAAATCCAGACAGCAGATCAACAGAGTCCATGGTCAATGGCTGAGCAATTATTTTCAGGTTCTCCTGAGGATAAATAAAATTGGTACTGAAAATTTCTTCCAAAAATATAATGGGGCTATCTTAAGTAGCCTGCTATCTTTCCAAGAATGAATCAGAGGGATGTCAGTCAAAAAAATGCAATTTAATCTCAGAGGGAATGGGCAGCCATTAGAAAATATTATCAGTCTCCAAAGAGCTTTAGACTATTGTTTACAAGAAAAGTATCTGACATCAGACATACAATGACTTTCTATACTTGAAATAAATAAAATAATAAATATTCTCCAAATGAATTTATGCACTGTTTGGGGTATCATGCCCAGTGTGGTTTTTTTATTTGATAACAAGGAGCAAAAATAGGGCTTCAATCATTATCAAATCAATATCACACATTCTCACAAAAAAGGAGATATTTCTAATGCCCTCACCTTTAATACACCAAGGAAAATGCTAGATTTGTTCATGGAAAAACATATAAAAGATCCACAAGTCCCAACATATGTTGATTTTATAGGAATGCTTTTGATGCCTCATCATCACCTTGGCACACTAGTTTTGCTGCTACCAATTGCTGGTAAGCTGTGAATGATAGCAATGACCTGACTAGCAATTTGGAAATCTTTGCCTTAGACGATCTGGCTACAATTACACAATTAAAAAGTGTGGGTACCTACAATCCACAGGTAAAAGAAACAAATCTGACAAAAAGAAAGTTTAATAGCTATGAAGAAAAGACTCCTCCAACAAAAGTGATTCCTAAAATCTGTAGTAAACCTGCTGTCTTAGTTCAAGCTGCTGTAACAAAATGCCGCAGATTGGGTTGCTTAACAACATTGATTCCTTGCAGTTCTGGAGGTTGCGAAGTCCAAGATCAAGATGCCAGTTGATTCAGTTCCAGGTGAGAGACCCTTCCGGGCTTGCAGACAGCCACCTTCTTACAGTGTTCTCACATGGCAGAACGAGAAAGAGAGAGAGAGAGAGAGAGAGAGAGAGCGCTTGGTGTCTCTTCCTTTTCTTATGAGGACACTAACTCCACCTTCATGACATGATCTAACCCTGATTTCCTCCCAAAGATCCCACCTTCAAATATTATCGCATGGAGGGTTACAGCTCCGACATATGAATTTAGGAGTTGAGACACAAATGTTTGGTCCCATAACACCAGAAAACTATTAACTACAGAAGTTTTATCCCTCAAAAAACTAACCTAATCAGTTTCTGATTTCAACCAACTCTCTGAATATTGGTTGCTGAACAAACATTAAAGTTCTTACTAGTAATAGAGTTTCTTTTAGTTCCTGCTCCCTGATCAAATTTATGTTTACTCCTATTTAATTAAAACTGTCCAATTTGGCCTAATGGTCACTTCATCCTTGAGAGCTGTCATTTATCCCATCCAACTGTCGCCTCTAGCAAGAAAATTGAGAAGCATTTTCCTTTGACAAATGAATACCCATTAATAAAGTATACCCTCATGTTCACATTTTCTTTTTATTTTTTTTTTAAGAATGACAGGGTCTCACTCAATTGCCCAGGCTGAAGTGCAGTTGCACAATCATAACTCATTGTAACTTCAAACTTCTGGGCTCAAGAGATCTTCTTGCCGCAGCCTCCCAAGTGTCTAGAACTATAGGCTCCAGACACCATGCCTAGCTATACATACATACACACATGTATATATATATATATACACACACACACACAAACTATACATATACACACATTATATATACATATACTATATACATACACATACTGTATATATACATGCAAACTATATATGCATGTGTATTCACACACACACACAAACACACACACACACACACACACACAAACATACACACACACATAATAGAGACTGGGTCTTGCTACATTGCCCAGGCTTGACTTGAACTGTGTTCCTCAAGTGATCTTCCTGCCTCAACCTCCCAAAGCTGGGATTACAGGTGTCAGCCACCATGCCTGGTCCTCCCATTTTCTTTATCTAATCAAATGTAACCAAAAACATCTTTTAAAACAAATTACAGTCTATTTAACTAAACTTGAATTTCTCAAAATATTACTATCAAGGGGTGGACCTACTTCTTTTTTTTTTTTTTTTTTGAGACAGAGTTTCGCTCTTATTACCCAGGTTGGAGTGCAATGGCGCGATCTCGGCTCACCGCAACCTCCGCCTCCTGGGTTCAGGCAATTCTCCTACCTCAGCCTCCTGAGTAGCTGGGATTACAGGCACGCACCAGGACCTACTTCTTAATAAGGTTTCAAATGCATCCACAAAGAGTTCTGAACCTTGTCTTGACAAGGAAGTACTCCTGACTGGCCCAGTCTCACCATCATCCACTGAGTTATAGAAGAGGCTGAAGAGAATGTGACAGGGCCCTGGAGTGGCATGGGTGCAGAGCCAGCTCTGCCAGCTAGAAAGCTTCTCAGGGCATACTTGGCAATTGCAGCCTGAGTGTCACTAGGGTTTTACAAATTTTCAAAATTCCAAGAGAAAAACCCATAGCATCTGTGCACAAGATAATTACTTATAGGATGACTATGATAACATATGCATAAGGGTGGCCTAGAGGAGATTCAATCCTGATCTTTTCAGTAAATTTGCATTTTTTCAGTCTTTCTTATACATTAGCAGTCTTAGACTCTTTAAGGACACATCTGTTTTTCATGCAATGCTTCATTTCACATGTACAAAAAGACATTTGTGTATACAAATGAGATAAGGTCAACCAAATCTTCAGTATCCACATGTACACAGGTGTCAGTGTTTTAATGGAGAGTTACTGAAGAGCATACTTAAAATGTCACATTTCATAAAACTTTCCCCCATCCAAAGACATAAAAACTTGGCTGCATTCATTTGTAAAACTGAAATTACTCTCAGAGAGATTTAGTTCACCTTCTAATGTCAACTGAAACAAATTTGGAATTTAAAGGATATGAAACTGCAGATATCCTTTTTAAAAAATATATCATATTAATACTGAATGAAGCATCAGAAACCAGGATATTCTTATACTTTGTCTCCAAATTCAGCTTGGTATCAAATTCTCTGGAATGTGGGCTTGTGTCAGAATGAGTTTTTAGTACTAATATTAGCAATTCCGCTTTCTGATAAAGAGAGGAAAGCTATCAGAAGTCCCGTCACAGGGTATGTGGAGCCCCCTACATTCCATGTTTGCTACAAATCAGGACGTAGAGAGAGGACTTGGTTCTCTCAAACCCTCACTCATGCTACAATTATATCATCCTTGTCACAACTCATTTGGTAAAACTCTTCGTCGAGGCGGTGAGTTCACAATTGCCTATAAAACAAAATCCCTGTGCGGTAAACTCTGCCATGCCCTTCATATGTCAGTGTGGCTGCTCATATATCATTAACACAATCAAATCCATCCCCACACCTTAAGTCGCTGCTTGGGTTTCCCTGCTAATGCATTCCTGCAGTGCCTGCCTTTAATGTTCTGACTGTGCTCAGAATAAAAACGACTGGGTGTCCCCACTCTGTATATTCTGAAACTAAAAAGAATCAATTAAACTAGCCATATTTCCATCAGGGGGGCTGCTGCTGCTCCCCAAACAGCTTAAGCTGTCTTCTCATAGTTTATGATGTCAGCAGGATCTCTCGATTGAAATACAGCATTAAATCTCACCCACCCCCTCGCTGGCCCTCTGTCTGCTGTATATATTATTCTTGTAGTTTTTAGAGACAGCTGTGTGAATTAATGAACTGATGTGAGAATCAGAGTTGGCCTGGAGCCCCACTTAAAAGTCATGTCGATGACCTCATAAAAACAGCAAAGAATGCTTACAGCTTGCTTGTAAAAATAAATCCATTTCTTAATAACTCAGAATGCCAACATAATTCAGCACATATTTTAACCCCAAATGATTATTTCATAAGAATGAAAATTTCCCATGAAAAAGACATTTAGCTAACCTAGGCAACTATAAACTTTAATTGATATTTCACAGTATGTACTCGTTTGCTCTCTAGGGAGTATAGAATATCATTCTTGCACCTGCACTTTAACTCCAGAGTTATAGTATTTCAACCATTAAACATTTTTCATTAAAGCACTTCATATAGAATTAGTCTAATCTGATTTTAACAAAAGTATTCTATATTTAGTTTTTCACACTGTATTAGCGCAAACTGTTAGAACTAGAAAGGCAGTGCTTTTGTCCACTGGAAAAAGAAAAAGGGTGGTCTATATCTACCCACTTCAAAGATAGTCCTTAGTGCGCCTACTATCCTTTGAAACAAACAAGCATTTATCATCTAAGTCACTGCTGGGCAAATCGTAGACTCTGAAGAAACCGAGACACATGGTGAGCTCAGCTGGTTTGCAAATCTGCTCCTTTTCCCATAAAACCCCGCCAAAGCATGGAAGGATGCAGAATATTTTGGAGAGGCTGGAACTGAGAAAATGTGCAAAAATTTGCATCTTATGGTTTGAGTTTTATAGCTGCTATCTCACTGGCAATCTTAGGTGAACAGCTGCAGGATTTTAGGATATCTGACTTTAACCAAAAGGAAAGGGCCTTTCTAAATGCTTCAAGTTAGAATTGGAGAGAAGCAAGGAGAGTAGGAGCTCACTTAGAATCTGAGGTTAAGTAATATTTAAAGAAAACCACCCTACTCTAAATAAACTTTTTTCTCTCTGAAATGCTAAACTATATTCTTTCTCAGTTAGAACATGAACTTCTTAGAATTGGGAACATCTGAAGTAAATGAAAGTTGCTTTTCATAAACAACAGTTGGAAGTTTTCTCAAATAGATAAGTCCATGAATGCTTCCTGACTCGGTTTCCTTGGGTTTAACCTTTACTTAAGAAAGCATATTATTATTCTTTTATTGATGCTTTAACTTGACATGCAATCAGATCTAATGTGATATATGACAGAATTAACCATAGTTAATTCTGTTAAACAATATTGACTTTAGCAAGAAAACGACCTAGTGTGCCAAAAAAAAGATGGTCCATCGGATACTTATTCAAATTAGAAAAGGAAATTTTAAGGAATGCAAAGATTTCCATTAGGTTTATTAAAATATTGGATCTTCTGACATAGTTATTTATTTTTATTTTGAGACAGAGTTTTGCTCTTATTGCCCAGGCTGGAGTGCAATGGTGTGATCTCAGCTCACCACAACCTCTGCCTGCCGGGTTCAAGAGATTCTCCTGCCTCAATCTCCCGAGTAGCTGGGATTACAGGCATGTGCGACTATGCCCGGCTAACTTTGTATTTTTAGTAGAGACGGAGTTTCTCCATCTTAGTCAGGCTTGTCTTGAACTCCCAACCGCAGCTGATTCACCCACCTTGGCCTCCCAAAGTGCTGAAATTACAGGCGTGAGCCACTGCACCTGGCCTGACACAGTTCTAATAAAATGGATAGTGGTTGACTTCCCACAACATAAAACCCCCATTGCAGTCTCCTTGGGATTGGTAAATGCATACAGGATTTTTTTTTCAAGTTAAAGCATAGAAAATGTCTCAAAATGTGGCTTTTTGACCCACAAACACAGCTCTCTAATATGGCTCAATCTAGCAGTTCCAAGGGCTCTCTGAGTGATACCTGAAGTGGAAACCATGCAGGAAAGGAAGTCACTGGAGCAAAGCCAGGCAGGGCATAGAGAAAGCTGCAAAGAGGGACCCCACGAAGGGAGGTCTAAGTTAATAGACTCAGGGAGCAAAAAGCCACCAGAGTGGGAGACCTTTTGCCCACACACTAGGGAATCAATCTTATCTTAATGCGGAAGAAATAGTTTACCATGTTACTGTCAAGAGAACCTCCGGATATCATTGTTGCAAAGCCTTGGAATCCAGTGTAGGGTTGGGAAAATCACTTCCTGACTGATCCTTCTCTGACAGGTAAGACAAGCATGGCTTGCATTCCTTGGCAGGGTGTGGCTGTGAAGGCCCTACACAGAAGAACAACT